TTGGTAGAGATCGAATTTTCTTAGTTGTTCAGAGAAAATGATTGGTAGAGATTGAATTCGTATCAAAGTGTACATGCATGATTGTTTTCTTCAACTATGATACCATCCTACAAATACTTTACATTCTATCAAAAGTGATTTAGATTTGAAAATTACTACAATACTTGTTTCCTTCAATTTTTTTGTGGTGGTGGTCATCAGCCACAAACTCAAGTCATAATCTCATAAACTCAGGTCATATGGATTGGATTTGGGTCTGGATAACCTTCCTAATTTAGGTTGATTTTCTTTTATTGCATCACGTGTGTAATAAACTAATAATTATGATTAACATATTCGTCTTTTTTTTTTTTCTTTTGATAGGAACATATTTGTCTCATGGTTGGATGGATTCTATGAACTTTACCTAAGATTTTGTGTGAAACTTACGCGGATTCCTGCATGGTAAATTATCAAGAATTTTCCATACGTAATTCGTCACAACCAAATCTTACTCATCCTCTGTTTTCCTAAAAAAAAACAGAGGGTATTAACTATCACTAAATATACATACTGAAAGATTTTTGTTGAAAGAAATGTTAAATGAATTTTTTTTTTAAATCTTTTCGAACCTGCCAATTTAAAAAAAAAAAAAATCCAAAGGGTAGCGGTTTTCTAACTTTACGTACTGATAAATATCAAAGATGACACTCATGATAACATTCAATAGGTACACAATCTAAAAAGACTTCAACAAAATATACAATGTCAACTTAATCAAACTAGTTGTCCTCGTACTGATGGGATGGGTTTAAGGGCGAGAATGCATGAGAATAAGCAAAGAAACGTATCCAAGTCTTGAAATCATCTACACCTAACTCATATTATTGAGATAACACTCCCAAAAAAAAAAAAAAAAAAAAAAAAAACACTTCAAGAGATGACATCTGAGAAATTTTACGCACAAAACCTACAAAACAATGAATAGGAGACACTATATGACAATGAGCAGCTCCCACACAAGAAGCTAACAATGAACCAACTTGAGTCCATAACAATTTTGTGCTCAACACCATTAGCGAAGATACCATTTCTAACAAACTGATGACACGCCAAACAAAATTAAAATACTCACTACAGAAACTCACAAATTAATAAACCTTGTCAAAGAGGCATTATTGACGAAGTAATGAAAAACAGATATGCTGCAATTTATGAGAAGATGAAGGAAGAAGGCTAAAAAAAGGAGAGGGGCTGCCACCAGCCCCAAACCGGAGCAAAAGGCCAGTGGCTATGAATTTTGCATATTTAAGGTTTCCCAAGAGGAGGAGAGATAAGAGAGGGGCTAGAGTTTTTACTAAAATTGTTCGTGTAGCTTGGTTAGGAACTCAAAATACAATTGTACTGAAACAAAATCCACATTAGTAATTCAATACTTTTCAACGCATCTACTGCGATTCCTTGATTTCTTATAGTGGATCGGAATAATTGTTTATGGCGTCTTCTTTTATGCATTTTATTTGTATCCATTATTATCAAAAAGGTAATTAGATCACATACTTGAACCTCTATTTGGTAGGTAGTTATGCTTATCATTAGTAGTCCACGATTTCAGCTTTTATTATTTTCGTTGATTGTCTCTTTTTGCGGATTTGGTCTTCGTCCCCCGCTTTTAATTGGTTAATTTGTGTAATTTTTTTGTTAACAAAAAAATAAGAGGGAGGAGGGATGGGTGTGAGGTTCTTGAGTGTAAATAGAAACTCTTTTGCAAATGCAACTCATTTGTGAAAAGTGAATGTTGTGTTATGTCTTCAATAATGAAGTTTTATTTTTGGTAATGATGAAGCATAGAATCCAAAGGTTTAAGGGCTCATTGGAACTGCTTCTAAAATGGTTAAAAGCGCTTTTTAAGAAAATATTTTTGAAATAAATATTTAGTCATTTTAAAAACACTTCTCAACGAATCCTAAGTGGACTATAAGAATTTTCTTTCCACTTTGCATTTAAGTTCAAATTCCCCCATAATACATATTTGTATGAAAATTTATTTTGACACTCTTTCTTCTTACGTGCGTCTTTGAATTAGTGTGTACAAAGAAAGACAAAAGTGCGTGAGAATCAAATTCTTCTGTAATTTTGGTTTTCTTACCGATAAAAAAGAGAGAGAAAGAGATCATGATTATTAAAAATGGAAGTTACTCGGTTTGTGTGGTCTATTCTACTTCTACCCACAAATTGCCAAATGAATAAAAAGAGTGAGTGATTCTTTTTTTTTTTGGTAAACAAGAGTGAATGATTTTGTGAAAGAATAAACGAATGAAAGAGTAAATGATTCCTTTGTATAAAACGGTGACAATCCATGTGGCCTAAAATTGAACACACGTACGTCGTGCGGCGACCCTCAGTTGTACACAACGCAACCGACGACGACTGGACCTCCTGCCATGTCCCATCTCTCATTCCTCGACTTGTGATGCACTCACTTGCTCCTTGTGGGGTGCTCGTGGCCCCTCGTCCCATCATCAGATTTCTCATCAACCCAACTCCACTAATTACATATCGAACCATTATTAAACACTAATAGTGGATGTTAATTATTAAGCACTAATACTTTCTTCAAACACATCTTGTATTAGTATTACTGATGTCGATGACTGTATATGCAAACTTTCTTATCCAACAGAACGAATCACAAAGATCGAAGATATTTTTTCTTACAACAAGACGTAATGTACATTTCGCTGTATATATTTCACCTCCACATCCCCCATATTATCAATATTTAGGACTCGTTCAGTTGTGCTTATATCAATCAGTATTTATTGTGTACGACCTCATGATGCCACTAAATGCTTGACAAAATCATGTATCGGCAAATTGTGTCATCTCTGGGCAGGGGTCGGCAGACCTTGTGCACACCTCTTGGCTAACCTCGTAAAGTCATACGTACAGTTCTTGGCATGTGACATGTGCCAGGTGCTTGATCAAACGTCTAACAAGAAAAACCAACTCTTTTATCATGTTCTTCAAAGAAAGATGCTAGCACCTTTCTCACTTGAACTTTCTTGTTCTGTCTTCTCAAATCTCTTTCTCATCTTATAATGTTGTTGATGATCGAAACCGGCTACTATCTAGATGGCCCTTTAAAGATCAACCTTTGTAAAAAAACAACCAACTCAGAAATCGTTTAACTGTTCGATTAACGTTGTCAAATTTATGAGTTTACTTGAAAAAGATGGTTCGTGTATTTATTAGATAATCATCATATGATTAAAATATTTCAGATTTAGTTATTTTTTATGCATAAATAGATAGTTTTGATCAACAAGCAACATTTCATAGTAAGAAAAAAAAAAGTAAAAAAGTAAAATGAAAATATACAAATGAGAATTCCTAGCAATCCTCTTGTTCAAATAATCATCATAGTATATACAGTGTACTACAACTTTCAATTTCCAAACTCCAAATCCAAGCTTGAAAAAAACAGGGGAGGGGAGAAGGAGACCCGTCTATGTTTGGTCCGACAAGATAAAAAGATAAGGTGCCTCTCTCATTTTCTTTACATACCCCACCCTTTACCCCATTTATTGTCCAAAACAAGCCCAAGACATTACGTTGCAAAAAGTCAAATATGGGTCTGGTTGGGCTAGCGTTGTTACTGTCCACTAGGTATTCGTGGCAGTAAAAGGTTGGGATTTATTTGGACGGCTCACAACGACAAGAAAATTTTTAATATGCTGAAAGCACGATTTAATACATTATATATCATAATATAATTGTTGACTTTTTATGTTAAATTTTCAACTAATTGTATGATTATATTTAATGTATGTGATGGTATGCCATACACACTAAAAAATCTCTCCACAACAACGTCACCCTGATCATATACTAACAAATCTCTTCACAACGACGTCACCCTGACCACATGGCGCAAATCTGTAACTTTTCTTGACAGGTTGGAGGATGAAGAGAGAAACAATAGAAAAGCACAAAATAAAAATAGATAAAACAAACCGACTAATATTATTGTCTAGGGTTGTTTTTCTCTATTATAAGTGAAAATTCCATGTTTAGTTCACAGGAATAATCATGACGTATGTATTTAGTGGGGATTCTCGTAGGATCTTCTTTGTGAGGATCTTAGAGATTCTCAAATTATATATGTTCATTGTATATCATAAGATTAGAAATCATTGTAAATTCTTTTATTTAAATTTGAATATAAACAGTACTTGACGAAAATTAACCGTACAATGTACGATAAACAGATACGATTGAAGAATTCCTGAAATCCTCACAAAGAAGATCCGATGAGGATCCTCACTCACTTGTATTGATTTCGATCCTAGTTAGTGTCGGCTTAGCCTAGGTCAATCCCTATACCATTGCAATGGATTGTCCATGTTCATTGAAATGTAGAATATCTTTTATAAAAAAAAATGGAGAAATATTTGCGATTATGAGCATGAAGAACTTCGCCATGTGATGTACCATTTAATGTGTTAAAATATAAGTATATAATAATATTATGTGAAAGTGCTTTGGAAAAATACCGAAGTATTGCTCCAAATGAAGCGAGGTGCAAGGAGAGAGGAAAAATACCAATATTTTTTGGTATTTTAGCTAAAATAATCTCTAAAATTAGCACAACTAATTATCATGAAGGGGAGAAGTTAGTTTGACAAAAATACCCTTTGAAAGTGTTCATGTTTGACAAAGTTTTCATAGAACAACAAAAATAATTTACAGTAGACAAACCCAATGACCACTTTTATCGATTTTTATTGTCGGAGACCAAAAAAAAGAGTTAACTTTAACCACCATTTTAACTAAAAAGTCTTTTTTTAATTGGCGAATCATTCCAAAATTAAAAAATAAAACCAAAAATTAAATTAAATTAAATAATACAAAAAAAAAAAATTAGGAAAATTCGAAAAGGGTAGGCGTCGTCTTTGGCTTATAAAACGGTGGGAGCGACGGTTTCGTATTTAACTGAAAAGGGAGTTTGATCTTTCACGTGTCTCTCCCTTTCCTCACTCTCGTTTATTTTCCGATTCTATTTGCTCTCTCTGTATCTATCAATCTGTCTATCAATCTATCTATCTTGCTTTCTTTCTGTTTTGTTTTGCAGCAAAAAGAAAATAATAATCATCTTGCTTCGGTTTTTAACTTTATTTATTTGTTAAGCTTCGTTTGACGGTGCTACTTTTCAATATATATACACCCCCCACACATACATATATCACCCTATATATACACCTTGACTCTGCTAATAAATAAAACAGAGAGCGAGACAGGTTTAGGTTTCTTATAGGGAGAGAGAAATGGAGGGAAGAAAGCAAACTGGGTCGTCGTCGTCTTCCTTCACTTCTGAGCTTTTCGGGTCGAAGGAGTCATCTGCTTCTTCTGGGATTTTTGGGGCCATATTTGCGCCTTCCTCCAAGGATTTGGTATTATTGCTATTATTCCCCTGTTTATTTTTCTGATTTTCTGAAATTCTTGATGGTTTTTTTTCTTATTGTTTTCTTATTATTCAATTGGGTTTTGGTTTTTATCTCTGCATTTTTGAATTTTTGACAATTCTTGCTAGGTTTTGTTTAATGAAAAATGGGGTTCTGTTTTTTCATTGAATTTAGCTTAAAGCCTTCGCCTATGTGTCATTTTACAATTTACATTGTTTTGGGGATGTTTTTATAACTTTCTCTCGTAAAATCTTGGTGGGGTTTATCTATATTGTCTCCCAAATTAGGTGAAAACCTTCAATTGTCATCTGTTTTCTGAATGGATGATAACATTATTTTATTAATGAAAGGGTTTAGAATTATAAAAGTAGTATCTGTTTGTTCTTTTGAATGGATTTTGCTTTTATCTCTCCTCTAAACTTTTGCTCTTTGAATCTCTCTCTCTCCCTCTCTCTCCTGACTGACCCTTTTATTAGATTAATAGATTCTGTAAAGTGTGTTTATATATTTGTTTATTTTTCTGCTGTACTATTCTCGGAGCTGACTTGTGATGTTGTTGATTCAGGTGTTAGGGAGGGAATCTGTGCGTTCAGAATTCACTGGGAAAAAGCCCTCGGATGAACCATTGCACTTCAAGCCCGGAGATCAGCCAGGTTTGCATGCTTTTTCTACCTTTCAAATGTTGTTTTTCTTTTGTTATGGCCAAAGTTTTGTATTTTCATTTTTTTTTATTTTTTGCTGTTTTGTTTAGATTGCTGCTTTCTGCATGCCAGGCATAAACTGGGTTAACCTATTATTTATGAACATCACCAGGGACCCATGGCCAAAAGTACTTCTGGGTTGTACAGTTTATGGAAGTTCTTTCTGTTTATTCTGAAAGCACTTGGAATTTTTATTTTTTCGACATGCTTTTAATAATAAAAAAAAAATTCTAATGAAAAAGATCGTGAGCATAAGTGCTTTCTAGGGAAATATATATTTAGTCAATCTGCCTTTAAACTTTTTAAAGTCCTCCATACTTTGCCTTGGAAACAGAATTTTCCTTCTGCACTATTCATTCTAAAGTGAAACATTTGCTTATTTTCTTTGCAAATAAAATAGTTTATCTTTGGGTTGCCATTTTTTTAAAATTTATTTGTAACTGCAGACCAAGTAATTCTTGGTTTTTAAAGTATGAATTGTATGCTTGGGAAGTGTTTAATTCAGATGGATACCGTGTTGTTGCTGCTGCAGATGGTGCCTCTAAAGAGAGCGAAGGTGAGAGTAAGAGCATATCAAACAAGGACATAATAAACTCCATCTATAGGGATCAGAGAGTGCAACAACCTTGCCATCTCAGTTCATCAATCTATTATGGTGGCCAAGATATTTATTCTTATCCTCAGAGTACCCAGAGCCCCGAATATAACTCTACGGTGAGCGTTTTTCTTTGTTTTGTTATGTTTATGTATAATCCAAACACTAATAGAGTAATTGTGGAAATTCTCCGGGTGTATTATGTTATGTTTCTTTGTTATGTTTATGTATAATCACCGGGTGTATTGTGTGTCTGTATCCTTCTGTGGTGGGACATAACAAGTGACGTGATGAGAGATATTGACACATGGGTGTGACACGCTAGATTTTATCTTGTGTGGCATGTTATGTCAGGAGATGTAGCAAATTGTACAAAATTACTATATAATTAAGGAATTTTCATTTAGATTAAGGCTGTTCTTAATTGGGGGATTATTTCCTGATAATTTCAGTACAAGAAAGATGGGACCGAGGATGATTCGGGAAGTGCTTGTAGAGGAAACTGGTGGCAAGGTATAAATCATACTGCAATTGTTTACTGGAGAAATCTGTATGTAGTGTTCTCAACTTCTGACGTCGTTTTTCTTCCAAATTATCCATCGCTGCAGGTTCCCTCTATTATTAAGTGCTCCTTTGCCGAGGCTTATACTCGTCAAGGTATGTTACTTCTGAAACATTGCTACGAATCTACCATTCGAGTCTCCAACAATCATTCTAATAATTAATATCTAATTTGACTTATGGACGAATATGCAAGCCTACGTTTTAGTATGTACTATATAGACACTTCTTGTCAGTCGCACGTCATCTAGCATTTAAGTCTTCAACAATCATTCCATTAATTACACATCTAATTTGACCTATGAACGAATAAACAAGCATACGTTTAAGTATGTACTATGTAGACTCGTCCTATCGTTAGCACATCGTCTACATTGACCTTATCTTTTCCTTTCTTTGATCTCGGTGAATTTCATTTATTAACTTGCCTATTGGTCAATCATGACATTTTCCTTTAGAATCTTATCATATTTACCACAGTTTTTTTCCCTCTTATTAATACATATACAAGGGTTTTTATCACAAATGGTTGATTTAGTTTCCGAAACACCTAACTTTGGTTCTTCTCGTTTCAAATTCATCAATGTTGTCCTCCGTAGTTTTATTTGTGTGACCTTTGTGTATTGTGCTTTGCAGATATATAGGAAGGAAATAGGGTAGCAGCAGGTGATTGTGGACAGCTGGTTTGTTTTCCTCCAGCCCCCAAACACAGTACTCATATATATATATATATATAGAGAGAGAGAGAGAGAGAGAGATAAGTGCGCACCTTCTTTAGGTTCTCTGTAAAGTACGTACTCTCTGCTACTGTAAAGGATGTTTGGTTTAGTGACTTAATTAACCTCAACTGCTGTAATGTAGTTGAAGATTTGGATGTTATTTTAGTTTATGTTAAATGAATGGTTTGTACTTTTAATTGCATTTGGTTCTCTTTATCTCTATTCTCTTTTTTTTTTTTTTTTTTTTTTTTTCCTCGCTTTTAGGATGGATGGATAGTTTGTAGTCTCTGATCTACTCATCTGTGGTCCATGAAATTTGTTACCTGAGATAGAATCTTACTGACGGGGATGAACCCAAACTGAGCCTATGCTGTACGTGTGGCTGGTTTTTTAAATCACCTCAGTCTCAATGATAGGGTTATCCTCACTAAAAAATGTTCTCTTGTTAGATTGTGTGTATGAATTACTAGTTTGATTGATTTTTGTTGGTGTTTAGTTCACATTTAGTTTTAACAATACAAGTATGTATGACAAAGTTATTCTTTTGTCATACTGAATATGAACTAGTAATCTGATTGATTCTTGTCTAAATGTGGAGTTTGGATTCATTATGGTAAGATAAGTATGACAAAAGAAGTAACCTCATCTTTCACTTAGTTCACATTTAGTTTTAACAATATATGTATGTATGACAAAATTATTCTTTTGTCAGACTGAATATGAACCGGTAATCTAATTGATTCTTGTCTAAATGTGGAGTTCGGATTCATTATGGTAAGATAAGTATGACATGAGAAGTAACCTCATCTTTCACTCCACCCAATTCCTCCTATTCACTTCTTCACTTTAAATGGTAAAAAAGAAACTGGGTATTTGGATATCCACTAAAACAATACAACAATTTATGTGGAAGAGGTTCATCATTACTGTAGCGTCATATTATTTTAGAAATACGAACCCTTATAGAGAAAAATTTATACCTAACATTATATTATTGAACCGAAAAAGATTGACGATGAACCTATTCCTTATAAGTCATTTTCAGTCGGATTAAAAGTTCATTGACTCTCCTAGCTAACCTCAAAATTTAAGATTCCATTTGTTAGTGCCAACATACAAGAAACTAACAAATTAGTCTTCAAAGGCGGTGCCCATTAAAGCCAGGACTATCTTGCTTTCCAAACCTTCTTTTCGATTTCTTATCCCAGCTTTCGATTCTGGGGTCGACCTATCCAAGTAGCAAACCTAATGGAATAGTCCTTATCCTATGTTTGGTGAGACATAGCTTTCACCATGGTCGTTAATTAAGTTCTGGTCGTTAAAGAAGATTGTAGGCGTGGAGGAAGACTCTTCTGCCACGCTTTTACAAAGTTGCTTCTGACTTTGACGTTACAATGAATGTTTTGTCTCCAATTGTCCAAATCCAATCATTCATTTCAGCTTGTGACTAATTCCAATTTCATTAGGGTATGTCTACTTATCGAAAATGAGCGTACAAAAATATTGGTATCATGCGTTTGTTTATATGATTTATACAAAAATTAAGTGGTTCCTGAATTAAAAATCAATTATTTCATATATGAATTAATTAAGATATCGCATTATTAACGAGCAGGTAATTTATCTTATACTTGAACAATCAGAAACCATTCTAATTCATGATTTCTCATCATTCTTATTCGAGATTTCTCTCATTCAAATTACATAAACATATCAATAGAATCCAAGACAACTTAACGTTTAGGTGTAGCACAAAACAAACAAGTTACAAGGTTCCGGGAAATTGCATATTTTTATTGTACGAGAAGGCCAGGATACATATACATGATACGGGCTACTAGCTTTAATTTATTGCCAAATTACAGAGTAGTAATCCTACTTAATTAGTCACACTAGTAGCCAACTGCTTCAAATATCTTAACCAGACTTACGACTCCATGGCCTTCAACCTTTCCTTACATTCATTCACGGCAGAGTATAGCCTGCAACATTAACGTCGCATTAGGTCATATTATATTAGTCAAAAAATAGTATCAAACACAAAAAAAGGTTGGGTTGTTATTTATAAATCACAGTTTGACAGTTACGTAAATAAAAAAAAAAGCGTTGTTTTTTTTATGTTTTAGTAGTTTTTCTGTAGGTATCAGATTGAGAATGCATGTATTTATGAATTTACCTCCGCACTTGGTACCGACTGGGCGGTTGGCAAAGTTGCAGCGCTTGGGAATGGTTATCGCAACCTCAAGCTTGACACCAGAGCTCTTGGCAGTGTCAGAAAGTAGGATAGCACAGAGGCAGCTAGGGTTTTGTCCCATCCTCTTGACTTGCTGACAGCAACTAGCGGAAACAGCAGCTTTTTCATCTTGTGCGGCATCCGCACAAGGAGCAAGCTTGGCGGCCTCTTCGTCTGGACTAGCTTTTCCACAAGCACTTGCCCCATCAGCCCTTTCAATCATAGCAATGCTGAAAACTGCAAGAAACCCTAACACGCAAATAAATTTCACTGCAGCTGCCATTTTTGTGTTGGTTCACAATGCAGAAGTTTGAAGTTAATGAAAAGTTATATCTCACAATTCCACCATGGTACAATGAAATAATCTGTGTGTGATGGGGTTTTTATACTTGAATCTGAGCAGAAAATGTGGGTTTTCCATTCATCCACTCACTACTAGTGGAAGTGGCACTAGAACCAAATTATTGCTTATTTTTAATCACTTTTGGGTACAGAAATTGGTCTGAGACATCTGTTTCACTTTGCTCCAATAAAAGACTGGCATTTGATCATTAGAGATTTTGAGATGCAGCCATTACTGACAGTGAGGATCCTCAAAAACCCTTGTTGCTGAGACACCTCACCCCAATTCTCCAAAAGCTCCATTACCGACCATGTTCCATCCTCTTCGTATGTGAATACGTGTAGCCAACTACCACACTAGGTTAAACCCAACTACCACACTAGGTTAAAACTGTTGAACCACTTCAACAAAAGCAGGTGTACGCATCAAGTCCGTTGGTTAGAATATAGTATATCAGCCTATTGCATTCAAGTTCGAATAACCCTCTTTGTAAATTTTTCTTCAATTAGCCAAATTGATTTGTTTATATGGCCATGCAACTAAATTTCAGTATTATAATTAACAGACCTCCTAACAATTTTAATTCTAGTTCCTTCTGCATATAGATATTGGACATTTCTTAATGATCAAGGCCTAGTAAGGAACTATTAACTCAAGTGGTTAAGAGCAATTTATCTATGCATTTCAAATTATGTGTTCAATCTTCACATCACCAACATCGCTTGTATAAGAGCAATTTATCTATGCATTTCAAATTATGTGTTCAATCTTCACATCACCAACATCGCTTGTATAATAACAGTCAACCCGCCCCGCCCCCCCCCCCCCCCCCTCCCAAAAAAAAAATCCCCGGCCAAAGAAAATGTTAGCTCAGAATACTATGATGCAAGAAACAACGATAAATACGTGAAAACCCCTTGAAGAAGAGCTAATTATGGCGCAAAATAAAAAGGCATTTTTCTTAAGGACTTCTGTGCAAATTGATAACCTGCTCATTGACAGTCGATCAGCTAAAATAGGTATATACCTGTCCTTATCATCAAAAGTGGGCATTTGGTCTAGTGGTATGATTCTCGCTTAGGGTGCGAGAGGTCCCGAGTTCAATTCTCGGAATGCCCCTTTCTTTTTATCCCTTTTGTAAGTTTTTTTGTCCATGGCAGATGAGATGACTGTATTTTGGAAATTTACCAGTATTTTATACGGATTTATGACCAAAAATAAAGAAGTAATGAATTCATAAACAATAACATAATTATTGTGAAAATTGCCATCATTATTTTGGAAATCCTAGAGCAAAGTCTGCTGATACCGCACAAACTTGAACACTTTCGCACTGAATTTTATCATATAATTCATCATATCCACTGCATGAGAAAACAATCAGACTTCATATATTCTATCCAAACTAGTTAAAATTTTTAGTTCTATCTTTACAACCACTGTTTGATCGAGGTCAAACTGCGACTCGGGTCCGGAACAAACTCCAAACTGTAATACAGGGATGCACATCTAAAACATAAAACACTCAACTCATCACCGTTGCAGACATCTTGTTCTAACGAGAGTCGACAACCCAATGAACCTTCCCCTCTCTCAGATGTCCTCCTATGTCCTTAAAAAACACGCATAAAGGACCTAGTTGAAGTGGCTGAACACTTCTGCATGGTCAGCCGATGGATTCATTCTTCTGTGACTGAGTCTTGTGATCCCGGGCTCCTTAATGCTTTTGTACACTCAAAAGAATCGATTCGCATGTGAGACCCTAGCGTTTCTTGCATTGTGTTTGTTACTGAATCTGGTTTCTCAATTGGATCACTGTAGTCCTTTCCTTTTGCATCGATGCTAAGATAATCAGTCAGTACTTTTTTAACACCCAACCCACGTTGAGGGATCTTGCCGCTGGTGATGAATGGTGATCCGTCTCCCCTCAGAGGGCTAACTAGCTGTGAGGGTGAAAAGCTTGGTGTGGCGAAAGGTGTTTTGTATGGAGTGCTTGAGATGGGCACCGAGTATGGAGTAGGAGTGCTCTTGTGTGGAATCATACTAACTTTCGAGATTGATGGGAACTGATCAGAATGTCGTGTCAAGTCATCTACATAAAGCAGGTCATCAATGCGTGCCACGATGTTAAATGCCAGGCTCTCCAAAACCCTTGAATAGCTCTCCAAAATGGATTTCCCGACATCCTAGCAGATCAAAATTGACCAATTAAGCACAAAGAAAAAACAATTAGAAGGCACCAATAAGAACAAAGCTTTTTAGTGGTAAAGTTGGAACCTTATTGTGCTGAATCTTGCTCATATCGAGGGCTGTCTGTGGAAGACCAGGGAAGCGTTGCTTCAAGCACATTAACAGACTTTCTGCTCTTTCTGGAAGCAACTCCTTTTTCTCTGCATCAATCATCAGCTCCTTGACCATTTCCCATGATGACTTCGAACCAAATCTGTTCGAAATACTTGTAGGTTTTGGGTTTGCCTTTTTACGCCACATATATATCGAGGCCTCCACTCTATTCGCAATCTCTAGGGCTTGATGTTCAGAGGACAAATCAAGGCAATCAAGCAGGCATTCTGCGGAGAACTGATCTGATGTAATGTATCGATAAATAACATCCCCTAAGCTTACTCTTCCATTCTGAAACCAAGTTAAAACAAAAGTTTAACAACTATGTCTTTGTAATCATGTATCACAGGTATCTTGAACGTTTCCAACCTTCGGAAGAGATTCCAGATATGATTCGGGGACTTCCATATCTGCTAGAGTAATACTATTGATTGCCATGGCAGCTTTTAATATTTGGCTCGTGCAATCACGCTTGTGCTGCAATTGCTTTCTTGAATTTTCATGGAGTCCACCAGGAGGAACTCGGGGCACAGGTAGCCACCACTTTTCCTCTTGGCGCTGAAATGCTCTTCGGAAAGAGGTTGACCCATCTGCATCTGGGGCCAGAATCCCTTGATCAACGTACCAGAACTCCGTATTGTTAAAGCCATCTAAGATTTCCTGCAAGGATTGGCTAAATTCAGAATGGAACTCGCAAACTGGATCTAGGTAGCAGGGGAAAAGTTTTTTAGAACCTTACAAGAAGCATGTTGTCCAATTTACGAAGGGCAGGGAGATTAACGTAAAGATCTGAGCGCGGTCTGCAAGTCATGACCTGAATTGAAATATATATGAGTCAGAACAATTTCAAGGAACTGATCATTTATTAGCCCCCTAACCCTTTATAGTTGAGGTTGCTTATCAAAATATCATCACGTGACTTATATGAACATAAAAGGCTCTACGCCTGCATTTCTATTTCAATGCACCATTTATAATGCAGCACAGTTAAAAATAGCGACGCTTCATTACTGCAATATACTAGGAATTGCTCACTAAAACTCACAATTGAGACTTTTGATCATTCTTTCAGATGTTTGTTGCCACTCAGTACAATATATAAAGCTGCGCCAAGGGTTTCCATATCGAAAGCTGAATTATTATACTATTCTTTTAATCAATGTTGGAATCAGATCATACCTCCAATTTGCTTCCATCAGGAAAAGTCTGCCAAGAAGGTATCAGCTCAACAATGTGATCACTCACACAAAGAAGCCATTCCATCTCTCTTCGCCACATCGATTTCTTCTCTTGCGGTAGTGGTTCTAGTCTCCAAAGTTGCCCGAATAGGGTAGCTGCAAGAGGGAACCAGAGAATAAGAAGAATTAGCATCAGAATCTATAACAAATTTTCGTTAAACAACGCCGCAAATCAACCAATTCTTAGTGTTAAGACATTGAGAAAATAAATTAAAAGTGCGTACCGCAAAGATTAGTAATGGCATTTGATATAGCCAATGCTGTGCAAACCCCATTTCCACAACCTGACATATCTTCTCCAAGCAGTAATTTCGAAAACCTCTCCTTCATCAACTCAGTCTCTACAATCCCATAAACCAAAACCAAATTATGTTAGATGAAAATGCATCAAATTGACATGTAGCTTGGTTGTCAAGCCTATTTCGAATTGTTTATGTAAGTGTTAAAAGTGCTTTCTGACAACTTTAAAAGTGCTTCAAGGTCCTAAAAGCACTTTAAACCCTAAATAGGTGCTTCTCACAAGAGCATTTCTATCAAAAGCGCTTATGAGCAAAAGTGCTTCCTACGAAAGCAATCCCAGACCGGTTATGAATTGGAGGGGAATAATAATACCTGATATTGTTGACCCTTGTTTCTCTAGTTTCCTATCATCTGAATGGGTTTTCTCCGCCGCTTCATCACCGTTCTCACTGGTGCAATCCGGCGCCTCACCTTTCTGAACAGGCCAACCCAACGACGGCGGCGAAGACGACTCCTCAGAGCTGCTGTGGCTCTGCTCCTCCTCCTGCCCCGTCGTCTCCGACGTCAAAAAATTCGAACTTGAACTGCTCTCACGACCCTTCTCCTCAATCAAATCCTCAAAGCTCCCATCTTTATCCAAAGCTTCAGCCAAAAAATCGCCACTTTTCTCCCCAATAACTTCATCTTTCTCCACCAAACCCTCCATTGAAGCTCCTCCTTCGTCACCAAAACCCGGCAAATCGCAGAAAGCAGAGTTGTTCACCACCATACCATCGTACGGAAGCTTTCCTAAGCAGCAGGAGTTGAAGATTCGAGCTCTGCAATGCAAGTTCCGAAGATACTTGGACGCCCAGAAACAGAAAAGGGAAAATGGGTTGCGGCTGTTAAAGCTTCTGAAGCTCAGCAATGGCGGACAGAGCTTGAGTTGATGAAATTTAAGGTGGGTTCTTGATTCTCTTTCTTCTTGGTAAGTGAAAGCTCCATCCATGGGGTCTCAACCATGTCTGACAGTGAAAGTATGATTCTTCCGGAAGGAGGTTTGGTTTATTTATATGAACAAAAATGTGGAGCTGGTAATGATTAATGGAGCTTGCTCAAACACATGAACAGCGAGAGAGAGAGAGAGACGCATTTGAGCTTTGAAGAGCGTATGTTTCTACCTTTATCTTCGCATGGTTCGAGCTTCGAATTATCTACTTTTTTAAGTA